GCGGGAGGGAGAGACGGCGGGAGCGGGAGGGAGAGACGGCGAGAGCGGGAGGGGGTGACGGTGAGAGCGGGAGGGGAGAGACAGTGAGAGCGGGAGGGACAGACGGTGAGAGCGGGTGTGTGAGATAGTGAGAGCGGGAGGGAGAGATAGTGACAGCAGGGAAGTGTGGGGGTGAGGGTGGGCCAATGATTGAGATGTCTGGTTGGTGTGGATGAGTGGGATGGAAGGGTCTGTTTTTGTGATGTTTGACTATATAATGATGAATTTAGCGTGTTAAAGACCCAGTTAAACCTTATTCAACAAAGGGATAACTTTTTCAATGTTTTAATAGTGAGGCAAGTTCTTATTCCTTCAAATGATTTCAGATTTCCATCTGAGGGCAGCTTTAACATTGCACCCTGTGGATGACCAGCAAACCACTGACATTGACTCTTGGATCTGCTGGATCTCCGGGTTTAACTGCGTTACTGTGAACACCAGAAGCTGCTGCTAGATGCAGGCCCTGGGAAATGATGGCAAATGCTGTCAGTTTTGTTGTCTTTGGCTTTGCCAAGTCTGAGCCAAATGCTGCTCTTTTATTCCGAGGTATAGTACCCATTGTCGGTGCAACCTGGCTCCTGTTCTCCCATTTCCTGGAGTTCTTTGTGCATTTGCAACAGTTAATCTGACAAAACAATGATCTAACACCGATCGCAGTATTTCATTATAGATTTGTGCAGTCGATCCAAACCTTTTTCTTCCCTCTTTCAGTGAAAAACTCAGCAAAAGGCAAGTACGTGTCAAGTAACAGCTACAATACTGCCGTCATGTGGGCAAATTCCATGGAGACAATTAGCCAGGAGCAGGCAAAATAAATTGCAATAGCGAGCTGCTGCTTGTCAAAATGGTCTATATATCCTTCATGCTCTCTCCCTGCAGGAAACTGCTATCAGGTCCGTATGGAAAATCTCAGGTACAAGCTGAAAATCTTAACATGTACAACCAAAACATCTGAATACAACTGTAATAAGTAAGTGGAAGTAAATCTAAATATCTCAACAAACTAGTCAATTTTGTTTGGCCAAGCAGCATCAGAGGAGCAGGAAAGCTGACGTTTCGGTCTGGACCCTTCTTCAGAAATGGGGGAGGGGAAGGGGGCTCTGAAATAAATAGAGGGGGGGAGGCGATGATAGAAGGTGGATAGAGGAGCAGATAGGTGGGAGGGAAGACGGACAGGTCAAAGAGGCGGGGATAGACCCAGTACAGGTGAGTGTAGGTAGGGAGTTGGGATGGGGGTTGGTCAGTGAGGAGGGAGGGGCAAGTAGGTGGGAGGGAAGACGGACAGGTCAAGGAGGCGGGGATGAGATGGGCTGATCTCGGGATAAGGTCGGGGGTGGGGAAATTTTGAAGCTTGTGAACAAAGACAGAATTCCCCTTGTCCTCACGTATCACCCCATTAACCTCCGGATTCAACGCATCATTCTCCGCCACTTCCACCACCTGCAATCTGATCCCACTACCAAGGATACATTTCCCTCCCCACCCTTATCTGCCTTCCGGAGGGACCGCTCTCTCCACGACTCCCTTGTCCCCTCCACACGGCCCACCAGCCCCAACACACTCGGCACTTTTCCCTGCAACCACAGGAAGTGCTACACCTGCCCCCACACCTACCCCCTCACCCCCATCCCAAGCCCCAAGAAAACCTTCCACATTAAACAGATGTTCACCTGCACATCTGCTAATGTGGTATATTGTATCCGCTCTTCCCGATGTGGCCTCCTCTACATCGGGGAGACCAAGCGGAGGCTTGGGGACCACTTTGTGGAACACCTAATTTCATTTCGTGACAAACGACTGCACCTCCCAGTCGTGAACCATTTCAACTCCCCCTCCCACTCCTTGGACGACATGTCCATCCTGGGCCTCCTGCAGTGCCACAACGATGCCACCCGAAGGCTGC